CACCGATTGGCCCACTTTTCTCTATCTTTTATTTCCATCTAGTTTTTCTGAGTACCTGGCTATGTCTGTATTCACGGGAACGAGCTCGCTGACACCGCAGTTAAGTCTGTCTGCTCTGGTGCCATCACGGCCGTGCCTGTCCCATACATGGACTACGGTCCTGTTTTCAAGGCGTGGCTTCGTGCCAGTTGTCAGTCGACTTGGAGTGAGCATCGTCATAGCAAGCTTTTCCAGATCAAACCTTCTGTTGGTCTTTGGCCTCTTGCTTCCATAAGGATTGGAAGGAGGATGTAGTCCTGGCAAGGCTACGCATTGGCCACAGTTTTTTAACCCATCGTTTTCTTTTATCAGTATTGACTCACCGATGTGTAGCCCACATTCTACTGTCGTGCCGTCGTTACGACCATGAGCGGCGGCATCACCATTTTAGACATGCATTTTCTAAGAGTTTACCCCTGACGTTGGACAGTGTCATTGGTAATGGTGACACTGTCCGACTAATTTGTATTTTTAATTTTTTACACACTATACATCTTTTTCATTCTATATAAATCATTTACCGACATATATTGATTTTAACTCGCTGTATTTTTACATTTTACTTTAATTTACTTTCATTGTTTTTACCAGTTGTTTGGCGCAGATAGCCTCGCTGCTTTGCGCCATAAAGCACCAAACAAACAACCAACCAACCACTACGTGGAGATATGGAATTTTGCAGGACCTCCACTCCTATGGGTTGCGTGGCCATTTACCCATTTTTATTCAAAACTTTTTACTGAACAGGCGATTCCATGTCCATGTGGGTTCAACTCTTTCCCGTTTCTTTCCACAGGAACTTGGAGTCCCTCAGGGCTGTGTCTTGAATGTCACACTTTTTAGTGTTAAAATTAACGCCATCACTAATAATCTTCCTTCGACTGTTGCAAATGGGCACTATATCAACGACTTCCACATCTCGTGTCATTCGTCAAACATGAGGTTTATTGAGTGTCAGCTTCAGACTGCGCTCAATCAGTTGTTGACATGGACCACTGCAAAGGGGTTTAAATTTTCTTTTTCCAAAACTGTTTGCATGCATTGTTGCCACCAACCGAGTTGGACAGTGTCATTGGTAATGGTGACACTGTCCGACTAATTTGTATTTTTAATTTTTTTACACACTATAGGTTTTTTAATTGTATATAAATCTTTTATCGACATATTTTGGTTTTAATTCGCTTATTTTTACATTTTTTCTAATTTACTTTCACTGTTTATAATGGTTGTTTGGTGCAGATAGCCTCATTACTTTGCGCCATAAAGCACTAAACAACCAACCAGTTAAATGTAGTCATGTTGAGGCACATATCATGTGCGTCATTGTATATGACGTCATAGCCGACAGTCATGGCGGTCCCTGTTTTCGTAGAAATATTATGTCATAACTGTTTGTCTGGTATCGAACTATAATTTCAACCCTTTGTGGAACTATGACGTTATGGTCGCCTGTTGTGGCGACCTAGCAACACGTCCCTAACAATGTGCACTTTAGGGGACAATTGATGGAATTATGACGTCATCACCCCTCCCTGCGTCCAACACACGTGTGGCGCCTTCTGGCGGCGTGCTGTGTGGGTGTGTTTTTCTCATAGGAAAGCCAAATCGGGCTATATGCTATGTCAACCGAGAGGAATCGAACCCCAAATTTTAGCGTTATAGATCCGTAGACTTACCGCTGTCCCAGCGTGTGACGCCGTGCGGGTGGCTCTCTAACTACTGTCATGTAAACTTAGGCGGCATCGTTTGATCCTGTGGTATTATGAATAATGTTCTTAAAATAACTGTCAGAAAGATTATTTCTAGCCTTGAAGGTTCCTGCGTCTGTGTAATTACAAAACTTGAGTGTTTAAAAATAACTATCAGAAAAAATATTTCTAGCCTTGAAGGTTCCTGCGTCTGTGTAATTACAAAACTTGAGTGTTTAAAAATAACTGTCAGAAAAAAATATTTCTGGTCTTGGAGGTTCCTGCGCCTGTGTAATTACAAAACTTGACTGTTTAAAAGTAACTGCGACAGGGTTATTGTGAGCTCTAATTGGTAAACGTGAACTTTATAACTTTTATAAATTGGTAAATTACTCAATATCTAAATTACTTTTAGAAATGTTTAATTAATTGAGTATATGTGTTTACGGCGCATGAGACGTAAAGGTTTGGCTGCTTTTAATAAGTTATTTGATATGTTTAAAAATGCTTTTTTAATTACTTACTTGATATGTTTAAAGATGCCTGTTTAATTACTTACTTTCTATTTCTAATGAGAGTTAGATACATAAAATGGATTTTCTTATTGTGTGAAGGATAGAGTTCTTTATATTGTAATACAATGCCATATTCAGCTCAGCTAGATATCTGACATAATTAGTGTGGTACATCTCGAAGTCAAGACAGTAAAAATCGGTGTCTTCAATATCCATAAATTTCAACGGCAGAAAAGCTAGCCAGGTCGAGGGATGAACATTATTGCTTTCTTAACGGTTCTGATCGTTCTCGTTCATTTTGTTGCAGTACTACCCATCATAAGTGAAAAAGGTAACGATAAGAGCCACCATATTCACCAGTCAACTTTAATTCGACAAAAGAATTTATACAGAGCAGTAAGTACATAAAACCTTTATCATTTTTTAAAAAAGAAATTACCAAAAACAAATAAACAAAACTTGTTCGGTGACTCCAAAACTATAAGATGTAAATATTAACCCTCCCCCCTTTTTTTTTCATCGGGTAAGGAGTAGCCCAGTAGTAATCAAGCGCTGACTGGGAATCCGCGAATTCAGAGTTCATGACCCATGTGCTCTGAAATTTGGGGCAGTGACTGCGATATGAGATTAATGGTCAAATCCCATCATTAGGTCAGACAAGAGTAGCCCAGGAGTGGTCAGTGGATGATATTCACTGGCTTCTTTCTCTTTTGTCTATCATTTCGACATAAACAATGGTTATACGCAGATTGTGTAGTTTTCCCGAATATCTGCGACAAAAAAAGGTCACTTTTTTCATTCATATATAAATGTTTATAGTATTTCTAAAGCATACTGGAAGTTATAGAAAAAACTTATCAGTTAAAGCGACGAGTGCGAACTTAAACTCTGAGTGCCTTTGTAATAATAGTATTTGACTATACGTAAATCAAGAGTGTATATCAATAGTGTTTTCGAAGCATACCACTCACAGAGACTAAGGCAGAAACACTATAGACCCCCAGTAGTTCAGCAAGGAGATTGAAGGCTTATAACGCTAAAAGGCGTTTTTAAGGACCGCCGTGATCACAGCGTAGATAGCCCATTGTTCAGCTTTGTGCTTAACAGCAAACAAAGAATATTATATTAAAATAATATTGAAAGTAAATTAGATTTTACTTATTTAGCTAATATGAAGTTCATTTTTCTAATGCTATTAATACTGAGTGTAAACCTGACGAGATGTTATGAATGGATGTTGTTGTCGTTTTTTTGTTTTGTTTTTATTTTTTTGGAAAAAGGGTAGTAATTATTGTATTATTTTAAACGATGTCTATTTCAACATAATAACTTTTAATGATACGTTAAGACAAAAATAGATAAACAAACTTGCAGTTTAACATCACATGGAGTGAATTGTTAACTGTAGTTTAACACCACATTGAGTGAACTGTCAACCGTTGTTTAACATCACATGGAGTGAATTGTTAAATGTAGTTTACTAGCATATGGATTAAACCTTTTAACTACAATTTAATATCACAACGTGTGATGTTTGACTAGCTGCCTTCCCTCTACTATATCAGTTCAAAATTAGGGATAGCTCTTGGTGTAACTTTGCAAGAAAATTCTAAGACAATAAAATCGTCACACCAGAAGGTTTACTTACATTAGAATAGTTAGTTGCTTTATTTCTATGCAATATATAAGTATCAATGTGTGTCTGTATGAATGTATATTTGTTTCTATATTTCTTTCGTCTCATTATATTTTCTTAAATGATTAAATCCAGAACTTCTACGGTAAGATAATTTATTCTACAATAATGGGATATTGTGCCAGTAATCTAGCTCAGAATACATGTGTGAATGTTACTTTCAATATATAGCAAGTATGAAGTGGCCTCAAGTGATGTGTACTTGCTAAAAAGCCGCTGCTTGGCCCGACATTGCCAGGGGGTTAAAGTGCTTGACTCGCAATCTGAGGGTTGCGTGTTCGAATCCCCATCCCACCAAACATGCTCGCCCTTCAGCCGTGGGGGCATTATAATGTGACGTTAAAAGAGTAGCCCAAGAGTTGGCGGTGGGTGGTGATGATTAGCTGCCTTCCCTCCAGTCTTACACTGCTAAATTAGAAACTGTTAGCGCAGATAGCCCTCGTGTAGCTTTGCGTGAAAGAAGCAAACAATCAAACCACTACATAGGAAATAATACCAAACGAAAAGTCTAAAATAAGCACCAGACTTCAAACAACAGGATAAGCAAAGCTGCAGAAGGGTGCTTTACAGGTAAATCCAAGAACAAATTGTCAGGCAACAATCAATGATAGTTTGTTTGATAGGGTGTTGTCACGATCAACGCTCATCTACACAGCGTGGTCAGAAGTAAATAGACACCACTTTTTCAGAAAAATATTTTTCTAGTCATATTCACATGAATTGATGTA